AAAAAAAACTCTGCAGACTCAAGACAGCTATGTGTTCCATTAGAAAAAGAAAAAAACAAAGATTTTTAAAATGCACAAGAGAGTTGGGATTCTGAGGGGCCAACCGCAGCCAAAAGGATAAATGTCCATATCCTGCAGAAGGCATCTCTTTGCAAACAGGACCAGTCTTCCTAGACCACTCTGACCCAGTTGTTTGCAGTAGGCCCCCACCTGTCTAGGTGTAAGGTAAAGGCAGAGCAGCTGATTTCAGAGGGAATGCAGGCAATCAGAGGATATGAGCTCATTAGGCATCTGTTCCCTAAAGCCAAACTAATCCACAGCACAGAGGACAGAAGCGTCACATGTTCTCCTCAGCCCCCAGGATCTGCAGTCTGCTAATTCAGGGTAGAAAGGAAGCTCTGCTACTCAGAAATCCCGAGCTGTGCTTTCTCCTTGGTGTTGCTACAGTACCTTTCACCTGCCTTTGTTACCACATGACTGTAATCACTAGTTTATGTAAGTTCACTCATCTAGATTGTGAGCTCTTAAAGAACACAGGCTCGTTCGAGTCCTCTCCATCTCTCAGGTGTCTAACTAGCACAGTGTTTGGCACACAGTGATCCTGACATGTCTATTAACCAAATAAATGAATCCCTTGCCTATCCTTACTAGATCATTCCACAGAGGTTATGAACTGCAGTCTAACCTAAATCCCACACACTGCTGTGCAAGCAACTCCTCCCGTTCTCAGTAGAAAAGGAGAACAGAACATATTCCTCCAGAAAAAAAAAAAAAAAAAAAGCCACTTGAGATTCCCAGCCTAAAATTCAGCTAGAGTTCTTCCTGCCCCCTCCTCCCCACCTGCTAGGCAAGCTGAATCATCACTAAGACATATGTTCAAGGAATTTCTCCATTCCAAACACTTGAAGTAGATGTGTGTTGGCAGAGGGTGGGGTGCTGGGGCTAGAGTATATTATATACCTAGTGAAGCTGAGGTAGGTCTTACATGTAACTCCCCCAATCCTTAACAAGGGAAAACCCTCCCTGTTAAGCATCCCACAGGGATGGATGAATCACCTGGAAGGTACATATGAGAGGCAGCCCTACTTCTATCAGCCTTCCCCATGCGAAGTGCCTTCCACTGAATACTCACTAAGAGCTTACCACCCAGAGAGTCACAAATCCAAAGGCGATCTGACTGGCCACAAACAACATTCCTAATCTGTGGTTAAGAAATTCTTTACTACAAATTAAAAATGTGACAAAACCTGTATTCTTCCTCACAACTTTCATCCCCACAACGCAGCCATGACTATAATCATTCAAGAACGTTGATTTCGAAAATATTCCCTGTCACATTCAAGATCACTCTATTTCTCCCACTCCAGACCTGACGGAAGATGGGCAATGGCTGTGCTTCTTTCACCTGAGGTATCCTCAGGAAAGGGGTTGGAAGTCTCCTTGGCTGCCTCCTGACTCCCAGGCCCTACCCCCTAGAGCAGTTTCCTGCTTCTTAAGTTCACCACCATAGTGACCCCAGAGCCAGAGCTCCTCAGCCTTCTCTTTGGTCAACAATCGCTGCCACCTACACCAAAACCGATCGCTCCAGCCAGCGTGAGGATGCAGTTATGACCAAAGGCATATATACATAAGTCCTGAGAGACTGCAACTTCTAGCTCAGGGTGGGGTAGTTTCTCTGAAATGCTGTACCTCTGGAAGGGAAAGGAAGGGAGAAGCAGGATTAGAAAGTCCAGGAAACCTGGAGCTTCCCCTAGACAAAGCCAAGATTCAAAAGCCAAGAACCGGGGCTGGAAAGCAAGGTGGAAAGCAAAATGAAAGAACCTCTTCATCCATCTACTCCCCTCGGCCCCCCACCCTCCACCTACACTCTCACCAACACCACCCAAGAAAAAGCCACTCCCCCTAATGTCCTCCCTGTTAGCGCCCAGTCCTGGCCAGCCTCCGTAGCCAGAGAGTGAAGCTGGACACGGCAGGAAGGAGTTAAAGCACAGGGAGCTGGATTTCAGGGGGAAAGGTGGAACTAGAGTGGAGCAGTAAAGGGCTGATGAAGAGAAAAAAGTCCGCAATCAGAAAACCTGCTGGGGGAACACCTGGGGGTTCCTGGACAAGGACCAAGGCAGCTCGGGGGAGGGGAGTGGCAGCGCGTGGGGCTCCGGAGGCTGGAACCTGGAAACCGGGACGTCTCGGAGCAGAGGGCTTTGGACAGGGCTGCGGGGGTCTAGGACCGGTTCTCACCGAGTGGGCTACGCCCCACAGGAACACACCCACCAGTGGGTCTGCCGCCCGGAACACCTTCACCTTCTGCTGCACGAAATGCTTCTTCTTGGTTTTGGAGGCGAAGCCGAAACCTGTGCCGGGGCCTGCTGTCGCCGCCGGTACGGTGGCCGGTGGGACAGAGGAGGACGCCATAGTCTCCCGCGCAACCGACCGAGTGGAAACCCCAGCCGGCCGCGATCAAGGCGCCCGACCCCGGAAGCGGCGCTCACCTGCGCTGCTGTCACGTGACCGGAGGCCGGACAACGGACGCGTGAGCAGGGCCGGGCGGGGCGGGGCGGGGCGACGCTGGCCCCGCCCCCCCGCGCCAGCCAGTCCCAACGTCCGCGCAGTGAGTGGGCTCACCTGGCGCGCGCGAGCGCTGTAAGCTGGCGACGCGAGCCGCCCGCCAGGCCCCTCGACCTGTCAACCAGGAGACCGCAGTGCGGCCTGAGCTGGCCTGATTCACTCCCAGGTCTAGGGCTTCTTTGCTGCAAAGTGGCCGCCTTCCGACTTTGCCCAGTTTCTAATAAGTAACCTCGGGCCTGAGGCTGATGCGAAAGCATTCTTACGAGTGGGAGTTGGGAAGGGGAGGGGTCTGGAAATCCGAATTTCTTAACAGTGGTCTCAGGCGTCTTTAAATTCATTCATTCGTTTAACAAGTATTTATTGAGCACTTACTTGTACCAGGTCCTGTTGTAGGGACTGATTTGGGAGTCTAATGGCCTAGAGCTGTGTATGAAGCAAAGCCAATGATACAAAAATAAGGAAATGTAGCTGGTCAGGGAAGGCTTAAAAGAGGATGGAGACAGTTTACTGAGTTTAGAAAGGTGGGTGGAGTTCAGAGATAGGGGTTAAAAGTCTTTCTAGACAGAACAGCGTACAAAAGACACGGAGACAAGAAAAAACTAGCCGGGCGCGGTGGCTCAAGCCTGTAATCCCAGCACTTTGGGAGGCCGAGGCGGGTGGATCACGAGGTCAAGAAATCGAGACCATCCTGGTCAACATGGTGAAACCCCGTCTCTACTAAAAATACAAAAAATTAGCTGGGCATGGTGGCGCATGCCTGTAATCCCAGCTACTCGGGAGGCTGAGGCAGGAGAATTGCCTGAACCCAGGAGGCGGAGGTTGCGGTGAGCCGAGATCGCGCCATTGCACTCCAGCCTGGGTATCATGAGTGAAACTCCGTCTCAAAAAAAAAAAAAAAAAAAAAAAAAAAAAAAAAACACAAAACACTGGGCCAGGCACGGTGGCTCATGCCTGTAATCCCAGCACTTTGGGAGGGTAAAGCGGGTGGATCACCTGAGGTCAGGAGTTCAAGACCAGCATGGCCAACATGATGAAACCCCCATCTGTACAAAAATACAAAAATTAGCTGGGCACAATGGCGGGTGCCTATAGTCCCAGCTACTCGGGAGGCTGAGACAGGAGAATCACTTGAAATCCAGAGGCAGAGGTTGCCGTGAGACAAGATCACGCCATTGCACTGAGGACAGAGGAAGACTCTGTCTCAAAAAAGAAAGAAGGAAGGAAGGGAGGAAGGAAGGACTAGTCCCTTTCTGGGAGATGTAAGTATTAAGGCCTAAGATTTGAGAACCACTGGGAAGAAACAAAACTTAGAGAGGGTAGGCACTGGCAATGCCTTAAGCAGCTTGAATCTATTTGATGTGCTTTTAGAAGGACCACTCAGGCATGTTCCTGGAGGGTGACAGGTATTGCACAAGTTCAGGCACAGATAATGAACTAAAGCAGTGGCTGCTGGGTTTGAAAGAAGGGATGGCATCTAAAGATGCAGTTTGATGTCAACTTGGAAAATTTATCTGAATGTGGGGGGAGGCATTGAGAGTGAATCTAAGGCTTCTGGCTAATGATGATGATGACATGAAAGAAATGATGGTGACATGAAAAGGAGCAGTTTCAGGGAAAGGTAAGTTCGGTTTGGTAAGTTCCCACAGCTCAGCAAAATCGTCGGGACTGGGGATATAGATTTAAGAATTGTTGTGGAATCTGCAGGCATGGATGACATATCTTAGAGCAAGGAAGGAACCAAAGGCTGAGCCCTGGGATAGGGCAGCATTTAAGAGGGTTGGGGAGGAAGACTCAGAAGGGTGGCCAGAGAATTACAGAGAGCCAAGAGAGCAGCATCACAGAACCCAAGGGGAGTTGCGTTTCAAGAAGGAAGGAGTGAAGAAGTGTCATACATCATGGAAAGGTGAAGCAAGAGAAGGACTGTTGTCCAAGAGAAATGTCCCCTGTATATGGTAACTAGTGCCGTTTGGAAAAGCAGTTTTGGACAAAACAAGCGGCAGATCAAGATGGGCTAAGGAATGAATGGGGGTGAGAAAGTGGGGGTGGGGAGCTTAGGATGATTTCTGGATATTTGGCTTTAAGAAAACAAGTAAGATAGAGAAACACATGGTAAAGGGAGGGACTCTTAAGGGAGGGACCTTTACAAGATGAGATCATTGAGACAGGCATTAATAAAGAAGATGCCTTAGGCAGGCGGATCACTTGAGGCCAGGAGTTGGAGACGAGCCTGGCTAGCCTGTTGAAAACCCATCTCTATTAAAAATATAAAAATTAGCCAGGCATGTTGCTGTGTGCCTGTAGTCCCAGATAATCAGGAGGCTGAGGCAGTAGAATTGCTTGAACCTGAGAGGCAAAGGTTGCAGTGAGCCAAGATCGTGCCACTGCCCTCCAGCCTGGACAGAGCAAGACTTAAAAAAAATAAAAAAGGTGAAAACTCCTAAGTCTCCATCAGTTTATCAATTTTATATATATATATTTTTTTGAGATGGAGTCTTGCACTGTCACCCCAGCTGGAGTGCAATGGCAGTCTCTGCTCACTGCAACCTCCACCTCCCAGGTTCACGCAATTCTCCTGCCTCAGCCTCCCAAATAGCTGGGATTACAGGTGCACACCACCACAACGAGCTAATTTTTTGTATTTTTAGTAGAGACGGGGTTTTACTATGTTGGCCAGAGTGGTCTCAAACTCCTGACCTCATGATCCACCCACCTTGATCTCCCAAAGTGCTGGGATTATAGGTGTGAGCCATCGTGCCCAGCAGTTTTGTATATTTTCTATATTTATATATTGAGGTTCTACATCAGTATCTCAAGAATTAAATATCTAGAAGGGATTCATGTTAGCCCAGAGAAAGGAGATTTATCACTTGTCAGAAGGGGGAAGGAAAGGATATGTGCAGACATAGATGGGTAATTGTTTAGGTGCATGTGGGCAGGTGGGGGGAAGATAAAGAATTTCAAGCTCAAGTGCCTTAATTTTCCCGTTGAAGCAGATGAGAAAGTTGCTGGCTGAGAGAGAAGGGTGGAAAGGGTGTAGACCCTTGCTCTGGGAAATAGGAGAAGAAAGTGAGCAGCACCAGAGGTCCTTGTAGGTTTGTAGGCTCTTCAGTTTTACTTGCTCCAGTTTTTTGGGTGTGCAGTTTTCTCCATCTGAGAAGTTCTGAGGTATGAGCAAAGAAGAGAGGTGGACTACACTTTAAAATGGGGTTTGGGGCCTGATGTGGTGGCTCATGCCTGTAATCCCAGCACTTTGGGAGGCCGAGGTGGGCGGATCGTGAGGTCAAGAGATCAAGACCATCCTGGCCAACATGGTGAAACCCTGCCTCTACTAAAAATACAAAAATTAGCTGGGCATGGTGGTGCATGCCTGTAATCACAGCTACTTGGGAGGCTGAGGCAGGAGAATCAGTTGAACCCAGGAGGTGGAGGTTGCAGTGAGCTGAGATCGCACCACTTCACTCCAGCCTGGAAAAAGAGGGGGGAGACTCTGTCTCAAAAAAAAAAAAAAAAAAAAAAAATGGGTTGGAAGGGTGATTGTAGTGGATGATCTTGGGACAGGAATATTGATCTGTTGGCTGTGGAGAGAGAGTGACACACTGGAGAGGGAAGGAATTGATGCCAGGACTGACGCTGCTCTGCATAAAAAATGAAGGAACAAGATACCATTTTCGGTAAAAATTACAAACAGTGTAGATATCCACCAGTAGTAGACTGGCTGAATGAATTGTAGGATAAATATGTGAAAAATTTTATTTTAATGAGGTCAATGGATATATATTGACATAAAAAGATCTCCAGGATATAGTGTCAAATGGGAAAAAAGCCAAGCCTGTATGTAAATCTGTAGCAAAACATCTGGAAAGATATATTCTATCAAGTTCCATTATATCCAAGGAAGGGAGTGAGATGGAGGAGGGATAAAGAATATTTACAACAACATAGAGTCATCATTGAATTTATTTTATTTTAAAGATATCTATGTACACCAATTAAATACACACAGGGGGTTGTGCAATTTGGTTTGTCTTCCACACTGGCATGCAACATTTTGGCAGATGTGAGTGGGCAGGCCAGGTGCCCCTTGCAGTGACCCTGGCTCTGAAAGGGATGCGGTGAAGGTGGGGAGCAGGGGGAGGAGGAGGATGTAGTGTGAAGCTTCTGGTGAAGGGTTTGCGTGTATGTTGTTTCTTTTTTATGTAAGTGAATTATATTTCCCTTACATCTTGCTAAAGAGAAGGCTGCTCCCTCTGTGTCATCTCTCTCCTCATCTGCCCTACACCCTCACATTTTCTTATGTGTTTTTAAAAGAACCATGTGGTGGCAACATTACATAAAATCCCCTGGATTCTTAGATGCCCTGCTGGCAGCAAACATTAGCCTAAGTCCACAGGCGCACAGGAACCTCCCTTCCTCCCTAGTGTGTCTGGAGACAGACTGGCTTGTCTGCCCCACCCTTGCGCCCTCTTTTCTGTGAGTTGCAGCTTTAGTGTGGAGGAGCCAGATTGGACCCCCTTCCTCAGAACAATGGTTTTCAAACTACTCAACAGAATCCTCAGGGTCTCTTAGGACTGTTCAGGGCTCATTCGCTGAGGCGCCCTTGAACAGTTTTAAGAGACCTTGAGGATTCTTCCACCAAAAAAGAAAATGCAAACTGCCCAGGTCTGCGTGACTTTATTTTTTATATTGGGATTCTGTGTAAGATTTGTTTTGAAAAATGTTTAAAAACCACCCACTTTGGATTTATTCCATACCCTGCTGATATTTTTCCCCCTGAAGTTCTCCTTAACTGCTGAAAGGAGCTCAGCAGGTAAAGGGAGCAGAGCCTCTCTCCCTTGAAGGCGTCATGGGCCAGTGCAGCCTGCGCTTGTCAGCTGGCACTCCCACTCAGCTTCCTTTCCTGACTTAGAAGCTGGGTGATGGGCTGCCCTGCCACTGGAGAATCTTGGTCTTCTGTCCTAGATAAGACTGGAT